TGGCTGGTGCCTTAGCCACTTAAGCCACAGGCTCTGAGCCTTTTTTTTTTTTTTTGTAGAGACACAGTGTCACTTTATCACCCTTGATAGAGTGCTGTGGTATCACACAGCTCACAGCAACCTCCAACTCCTGGGCTTAAGTGATTGTCTTGCCCCAGCCTCCTGAGTAGCTGGGACTATAGGTGCCCGCCACAATGCCTGGCTATTTTTTTGGTTGCAGTTTGGCCAGGGCCAGGTTTGAACCCACCTCCCTCAGTATATGGGTCTAGCGTCCTATTCACTGAGCCATAGGTGCCGCCCTGGCCCTATTTTTCTAAATGTTAAATTCAAGTGATGGAATCATACTGTATTCCCTGCAGGGAACCAATTTTTTTTTTTTTTGAGACAGAGCCTCAAGCTGCCCTTCTGGGTAGAGTACCATGGCATCACAGCTCACAGCAACCATCAACTCCTGGGCTCAAGTGAGTCTCCTGCCTCCGCCTCCCAAGTAGCTGGGACACCTGCCATGCCGCCACGCCTGGCTATTTTTTTGTTGCAGCTGTCATTGTTGTTTAGTGGGCCCAGGCCGGATTGGAACTTGCCATCTCAGGTGTATGTGGCTGGTGCCTTAGCCGTTTCTTTTTTTTTGGAGACAGAGTCTCATTCTGTCACCCTGGGTAGAGTGCTGTGGCGTCACAGCTCATAGCAACTTCCAACTCCTGGGCTCAAGTGAGTCTCCTGCCTAAGCCTCCCAAGTAGCTGGGACCACAGGCACCTGCCACAATGCTCGGATATTTTTTGGTTGCAGCCGTCATTGTTGCTTGGCGGGCCCGGGCTGGATTCGAATCCGCCACCTTAGGTGTATGTGGCTGGCACCTTAGCCACTTGAGCCACAGGCACCGAGCCAGGGAACTGATTTTTAAAGTAACACCTGATAACACCTTTCACAGCCTCACTGTAGCTTTAGAAAGTGAAGTGTACCTTGAAAGCTTTATTGGTGTCTGCAGGCATAGCCATGGCTGCTCCTGTCATCTGCTCCTGCATCATTCGTGATTGGTCAGCAGCTGCAGCATAAGACATGTGTACATAAGTGCCCGGGCTCAGCAAGCACTCTAGCACCCAAGGGGGAAGAACAGGCCTCACACTTATAGCTGCTTGGTGGTAGGTTAGAGAATCAAATGACAGGTTCACTGACTGGCTCGCTCTGTGCCCTGCTAAAGATGTGACTCTGGAAAAGTCACTTTATCTCTCCTCAAAAATAGAGATGATAATAGCAGAAGAGAAATAACTAAAGGAAGCTCTAAACTATATTTCAAATCTCAACAACAGCAATAGCCACCAGTTATAGAGCAACTCCTATATATGCAGGTACTCCACTAAGAGCTTTGCATATTCTACCTCATCTGCTTCTAGTCCTCCCCAGAGGTTAATGAATAAGGCCCTTAATGACAGATAAGCAAACACAAGACTAGAGTGGTTAAGGAACTTGTCAGAGGTCCTAACCATTTAAGTAAGAGAGCCAGGATTAGTACCGGAAAGCACTATTCATTCTAGTCAATGAAATAACTGATCAAACCAGTTCTTTAAGCTTTATGTTTATAGGATTATATTGCTAGTGCTGGATCCTTCACATCACATTATGAACTTCCTTCACCTGAACTTCAGGGAATCAAATATTGTCCCAGTGATTGTTAGGGAGAATTTAGATCTTTAAGTTTGATCCCCGGAATTGTAACACTCTTTCAGAATACCTCAGAAACTTAAGGAATGAAGCACTGCATTTGACTATGCCAATAAACAGAATAACCTATATTATTTTTCTGGCTCTGGTATGAATGATTCATCTGTCTCATTAAACCTGACACACTTCTTACCATTATCTTGGCCCAGGATCAGCGAGTAAATGCTCCGGAGCCCAAATACATTGAGGAAATACCAGGATGCAGAACTCACCCTGGCAAAGGAAAAGCAAAACAGTGTAAGCAGTTATTCCAGAAATTAATACAGTTTGTACTTTTCTACAAACCAAAGTTGTTCAGTGTACATAAAAGAATCAACTAGGATAAGCTATATTTATTGAAAACACAACCAAAGAAGAAACACAAGTTTTAAGGGAGTCTTACCAATACAGAAAAATATTAAATAAATAAAAGCTGAAAGAGGCCTCCTGTCCTGAATCCCATTCTCTAGAGGAAATCACAATTGCTGGTATGTTCCATACATACAAAAAAGACAGCTTTCAGGAAATACTTGCAATGCTGAGGACTATACTCGCAAAGCTACCGTTCCAGGTTTTGAACTTGATTACCAAGGCTTCCTCTAAGCTTAGGTTTAACATCCTGCTCCCTAAAATAAATATGCTTGCACATAATAAAAAATAAAAGGAGTATGAAATATGATACATAAATGGAAAGAGCCACACTTTATTCTTTTTTTTTTTGAGACAGAGTTTTACTATGTCACCTCGGTAAAGTGCCTGGCATCACAGCTCACAGCAACCTCCAACTCTTGGGCTTAAGTGACTCTCTTGCCTCAGCTTCCCAAGTAGCTGGGACTTCAAGTGCCTGCCATAATGCCCGGCTATGTTTTGGTTGCAGTTGTTTAGCTGGTATGGGCCGGGTGCGAACCTGCCATCCTTGGTGTATGTGGCTGGCGCTGTAACCACTGTGCTATGGGTGCTGAGCTGCCCACTTTATTCTAATACTTGATTAACATAACATAACTCCCATTAGACTGCAGGTAAATAAATGACCTATTCGTATGCAATGCTGCTGATCTATCTATAACAGTAATTGTACACTTAGGTTCCAGTCTTCCCTCTGTCTGTACGAGCCTAACGGTCATATACCTGTCCAGATGCTGAGAAAAGATAAATAAGCTTTTCTCCAACCCTTGAAGGATTTTGTTGAGCCCAAATGAGATTGGCAGGTGAAAGTTTAATAGAATCATACTACTCACATAAAGTACAGCTGGGCACAAACAAGACTCTCCCAGCATTTGGTCCTGCCTCTCCCATACAACCAGAGGTAGTTCTGCTCAAAGTGGGTAATAAGCCAAGAAGATCACCAGTGTCCCCCATTATTCTCTCTTCTTGTCTGGCTTCTTTCCTATACCAGTATTTGACAGGCAGTCCAGAGAGGCCACATGAAGTAGCACTACTGGGTTCCAGATACTGCAACAGTGTTTCCAAAGGTTTTTCAGATTTAGGTTTTACTATTCTACTATAAAAAAATAGAGAAGTAAGAAAGAAATGAGTGCCGGATTTGGATAGACTTTGTGTCAAATCTCAACTCCTCTATAGACTTTGTAGATTGGTAAGAGGACAAAATAATATATTGAACACACATAGCATCTACGCCACAGGGGTCCTCAAACTTTTAAAACAGGGGGCCAGTTCACTGTCCCTCAGACTGTTGGAGGGCGAGAGTGCGGGCCCCGGGATGAGTTGGCTGCTAAGCAGGACAGGGAGCAGTGGCAAAAACACCCGGTGGGCTGAATAAATGTCCTAGCTGGGCTGCATGTGGCCCACAGGCCATAGTTTGAGAACGCCTGGTCTACGGCCATACCACCCTCAATGCACCTGATCTCATTCGAACACACATAGCAATGGCCTAATGAAAACTAATGCTATCATTAGTAGTAATGTACTTTGAAGAAATAAAACAAATATCCATTCCCATAAGCTCTAGAGTGTTGCTAAAAAGGTTTGCCCTGGCCAGAATTCCTGGCTTAATCTTTTAACTCTTTGGAGGTTGATACATCCACCCCTGCATTCCTAAGCCCAAGAAACTAGGGAAAGAGTCTGACACATTCTTTCCTTTTGTAAGACTCACTTAAAAGTTTCCAAACACCACTGATGGCATTTTGAGTGGAATTTCAATGAAAAATAACCTTTAAACACCTACTCCAGTGAATTCTGCAAATTGGAAATCCTGACCTTAAGAGACACTGCTTTTTTTTTTTTTTGAGACAGAGCCTCAAGCTGTCACCCTAGGTAGAGTGCTGTGGTATCACAGCTCACAGCAACCTCCAACTCCTGGGCTCAAGCAATTCTCCTGCCTCCTCTTCCCAAGTAGCTGGGACTACAGGCGCCCGCCACAATACCCAGCTATTTTTTGGTTGCAGCCGTCATTGTTGTTTGGCAGGCTGAGGCTGGATTTGAACCTGCCAGCTCAGGTGTATGTAGCTGGTGCCTTAGCCACTTGAGCCACAGGCGCCAAGCCAAGACACTGGTTTTAAATTGTTTGTGTTTTTTATTTTATTTTATTTATTTTTGAAACAGAGTCTCACTATGTCACCCTTGGTAGAGTATCATGGTGTAACAGCTCACAGCAACCTCAAATTCTTGAGCTCAAGTGTTCCTCTTGCCTCAGCCTCCCAAGTTGCTGGGACTACAGGTACCCCCCATGATGCCTGACTGTTTTCTTGTTGCAGTTGTCATTATTGCTTAGCTGGCCTGGGCTGGGTTCAAACCTGCCAGCCTTGGTGCATATGTTGGCACTGCAACCACTGTGCCACGGGTGCCAAGCCTGTTGGTGTTTTTTATTAAAGTTCTTACCAGGATGCATCTAATGTGAGTAGTTCAATTCCTTGCTGTAGCATAGGCTTAAAACGGAGGGTCAGTGGAAATGGGACCTTGGCTGCAGACAAGAAAAAAAAAAGTTCACAACCACTCTGAGCAGTTTTATTTTAGACTAATTTAAGTGTAAATGAATATATTCTTTCCCTGTTGAGGTGAAAACTTGCTACAAAGATCTTGGAAAATGATTTCTACAGGAAATCTTAGCAATTTCTGAAGGGAAGCAAACAGTCAAAATGATACTCTGCTCTACTTTCCCTGAATAATACCAACTTGGCTTAGGAGCAAGGATTCAAACTAAGCTGTGACCTAAAATCTGGAAAATCTGCACTGATCCATTAAACCCTGAGTGGAATACATATACACACAGAACTACATTACTAAGAAACCAAATTGATTAAAATCAAATCAACTTATAAACAGACTGAAAACTTACCCTAACACCTAACAAAAGAAGTCAAAATAAAGAGGCTTCCTTTTATCCTACTCAACTATAATCATATTAGTTTTGGAAAGAAACTAGCAAATCACTTACTTGAGTCTCTACGAATAAAAAGCAAAAACCACCCACATGATGAACTTAGGATTTTTTTTTAGAAAAGGTCTCAATCTGTTGCCAGACTAGAATGCAGTGGTGTCATCATAGCTCACTGCGACCTCAAACTCCTGGGCTCAAGTGATCTTCCTGCCTCAGCCTCTTCCCCCTCCACCCCTCCCCCACCTCCTTAGCAGCTGAACTACAGGTGCATGCCACCACACCTGGCAAAGTTTTCTATTTTTTTAGAGAGGGAATCTCACTATGTTGCCCACTATGGTCTTAAACTCCTGGCCTCAAGTAATCCTTCTGCCTCAGCTTCCCAAAGTGCTAGAATTACAGGCATTAGCCACCACACCTGGCCCTAAATTTTTTTGTTGGAAGAATATTATCAGTTTCTGTAAGCAAACATAGGACCTATGATATTAATGTCTCAGTAGCATTTGTGTTTTTCTGAATGGAGACATGGGAAAGAAACACAGATGAAGTAAACATGAAGCCAGCTAGGTCTGTAACTTACTTGTGACAAAGCCTGAAAATGTCATGTTGATCCATCCACCGATAAGAATCATAGGGAGGACATTTGTTACATTCCCTTTCATCATGTCTGTGAGCATAGTGGGATCTAGACAGAAGGATAAGAAATCACTAAATTTTACCTCTGCTGGCAGGGATTTTCTTCTGATTTTCTATAAATATTTAATATACTTGATAATTAAAGACAAGTTCATTGTAAAAAGAATTCAAAAGACACAGAAAGGTATGGCATGATGTCAAAAGTTCTCCTGAGCCCTCTCTTTGACCTTTTAACTGCTTACTGAATAGTTTTGCATCTTTCTTTTTTTTTTCTTTTTTGAGACAGAGCCCCAGGCTGTCCCCCTGGGTACAGTGCTATGGCATCACAGCTCATAGCAACCTCCAACTCCTGGGCTCAAGCAAGTCTCCTGCCTCCGCCTCCCGAGTAGCTGGGACCACAGGCACCTGCCACAACACCTGGCTAATTTTTTTTGGTTGCAGCCATCATTGTTGTTTGGCGGGCCCGGGCTGGATTCGAACCCACCACCTTAGGTGTATGTGGCTGGCGCCTTAGCCACTTGAGCCACAGGTGTCGAGCCTAGTTTTGCATCTTTCTATACAAATACAATAATTTATGTATACATGCACACCCAATAAAGGGATACTATGCTTACTACTCTGCTTCTTTCTTTCTTTTTTGAGACAGTCTTATTTTGTTGCCCTTGGTAGAGTGCCATAGAGTCATAGCTCACAGAAACTTCAAATTTTGGGGCTCAAGTGATTCTCTTGCCTCAGCCTCCCAAGTAGCTGGGACTGCAGGCACCTGCTACATCGCCTGGCTATTTTTAGAGACAGAGGTCTTGTTCTTGCTCAGGCTGGTCTTGAACCTGTGAGCTCAGGCAATCCACCAGCCTTGGCCTCCCAGAGTGTTAGGATTACAGGCATGAGCCACCTCACCTGCTGACTACTCTGCTTCTTAATTTAAAAAAATTTATATTGACTTGGCACCCATAGCACAGTGGTTACAGCACCAGCCACATGCATTGAGGCTGGTAGGTTTGAACCTGGCCCAGTCCAGCTAAACAATGAAAACTGCAACCAAAAAATAGCCAGGTGTTGTGGCAGGTGTCTGTAGTCCCAGCTACTTGGGAGGTTGAGGCAAGAGAATCTCTTGAGCCCAAGAGTTTGAGGTTGTTGTCAGCCGTGACACTGTAGCAGTCTACCAAGGGTGACACAGTAAGACTCCCTATCAAAAAAAATAAAGGGCGGCACCTGTAGCTCAAAGGAGTAGGGTGCCAGCCCCATATGCTGGAGGTGGTGGGTTCAAACCCAGCCCCAGCCAAAAACTGCAAAAAAAAAGTACATATTATGGATGGCATTTCCACACTAGTAGTAGATACAATTCAAATTTTTTTTCTTTTTTGACACAGAGTCTTACTATTTTGTCCTCAGTAGAGTGACCCGGCGTTGCAACTTACAGTAACCTCAAACTCTTGGGCTCAAGCGATTCTCTTGCCTCAGCCTCCCAAGTAGCTGAGACTAAAGGCACCCGCCAGAATGCCCAGCTATTTTTTGGTTGCAGTTGTCATTGTTGGTTAGCTGGCCTGGGCCGGGCATGAACTCGCCAGCCTCGATGCATGTGGCTGGAGCCATTACCACTATGGTACAGGCACGGAGCCAATTCAAATATTTTTAAAGTCTGTGTAGGATTCCACTGTGTGGTCACACTGATCACTTTTGGGTGGACATATGGATTGTTTCCAATTATTTTGCCAGTATGTGATGCTGTCACCAACCATCTTGTATATAAATCTCCACGTTTATGTAAGGGTTTCTGTGAGAGAACCTCCTAGAAGAAATTCTGGGTCAAAGGATTTGTACATTTAAAACTGATAGATATTGTAATGCCCTACCATTTGGCATGCCCATCAAAGGTGAAGGCCTAACCTCCCCAATCTTGACAACAGCAGGTCTGGTCAATCTTTTTTTTTTTTGAGACAGAGCCTCAGGCTGTCCCCGTGGGTAGAGTACCATGGCATCACAGCTCACAGCAACCTCCAACTCCTGGGCTTAAGCGAGTCTCCTGCCTCTGCCTCCAAAGTAGCTGGGACTATAGGCGCCTGCCACAACGCCCGGCTATTTTTTGGTTGCAGCTGTTGTTATTTGGCAGGCCCGGGCTAGATTCGAACCCACCACCTTAGGTGTATATGGCTGGCGCCTTAGCCACTTGAGCCACAGGCGCCCAACCTGGTCAATCTTTTCAATCTCTGATAATTTATTTAATGGGCTAAAAAAGGACAACATTTACTTTAATTTGTATGCCATGGATTATTAGTGAGGCCAAGTATCTTTTCATATAATTATTGGTCTTTTGTTTCTTATAAGGTTTGTTAAGACCTGTTAAAATTAATTCCATACAATCTTATTTACTTAAAAAAAAATTTACCCCTATACCATCTGTACAGGTTTAAAATAGCTGGTTATCTCACCAGAAACAAGTAGTACTAAAATGAGAAGACACTCAACACAAAACAATAAATTACTTTTTCTTTAAACATGCTTTATGTTTCACACAATTGGGATCAGTGGAAGTAAGAAATCTGTTAGAGGCAAAATTGTAGGGTGGAGCAAGAGCTGGGTTGGTCCTGAGGAACAGCAACAAGGAGAAACCCAGGGATAATGGCCCTGGCCTCCTGATTTCATCAGCCAAGAGCTCTTTTTTTTTTTTTAAATCTACTTTATATACAGGGGTTCCAGATTTATTTGAGAAAGAGAATTCTACTTCCATAGATCCCTGTGTTAGATTATTTCTAAGATCCCTTGATTATCTTTCACAACTTAATAGTTAATAAAATGACATCCTCCCTCTACCCTTCCCCTTGCCCTACTCAATAACCAGTGTTAAAAATCTTCTTTAAAGATGAGAGAAGGGAATAAACGTACCAGTCATAGGAGAAGGTGGCACTACCTTCCTTTTAGTTTTTTTGAAAAATCCATCCTCTGGGTTGTTGAAGTAATATTTTCGTGTCAAGAAAGACTAGTAGAAAAAAAAGCTTTTTAAGTCTAAGAACTGTGACATAGCAAACTGTCAAATTATTCCCCAGAGGCTTCATCAGAAGGCCTTTGGAGTATGCTGTTACACTCAGAGCTGTCAGCCTACTTGGCAGCTGACATGACACTTTAGCTGAGTCACATTTAAAAACAATTTCCTAAGAAGGGTGGGGTCACAGTGACAGTAAACACCACTAGGCCACAGCTTAATTACTGAGTTGCCAACCTTCAGCTTTCCCCAAACAGTCCCCTTATAAAACATTCAGATATCTACTGCCCTCAATGGTGAATTGTGGAGCTTTTTAATAAAAGATAAATGAGTACCTGTTTGGGAATGTATTTTCCATTTTCCCTGAGGACTCTGCTTCGAATTAGGACTTGACTGAAAAATACAACAAAGACAACGTGATTTTAAAAAGTGAAACATGAGATGAAAACAAGTGAATAAAGCAGAAGACCTATTTAAACACAAGAGAGGGCCTATTTAGCAATAGCTCTGTGTGGAAACTTTCCAAAGTACAAGTATCTTTAAACCTAACATGACATATTTAATCTCACAAACAGGTTTTCAGAAAAATATTTTGCAGAAGTGATGATGTTTCTGAACAAATAAAGATTATTGAAGAAGGCACATTCGGGATATTACACTTAGCTTTTTCTTACTTCATAATGAGCTACAAAGGAAATTTCTTTAAGAAGAGTAGCAGTGGCTCGGCGCCTGTGGCTCAAGCAGCTAAGGCGCCAGCCACATACACCTAAGGTGGCGGGTTCAAATCCCCAGCCTGGGCCCGCCAAACAACAATGATGGCTGCAACCAAAAAATGGCCAGGCGTTGTGGCGGGCGCCTGTAGTCCCAGCTACTTGGGAGGCTGAGGCAGGAGACTCGCTTGAGCCCAGGAGTTGGAGGTTGCTGTGAGCATGATGCCACGGCACTCTACCCAGGGGGACAGCTTGAGGCTCCGTCTCAAAAAAAAAAAAAAAAAAGTAGCACTTGAACACTATTCCAAAGATTTTGGGGTGGGCAGAGAAAGGTGAGGATGAAAGAAGGAACTTATTATAAACAGAGAAATGAGTACAGGACTTGGGAGGATTATTTGATGGACAAGAAAGAGAAATTCCATCCAGGATCCAGACTGTTAAAAAAGCTCTCAATAAACATTTATTGAATTAATAAATGAAAATATTTGGTGATTAGAGCATAATCACTAAAGATAATAGAGTGCTATATAATAACCACTTATCTTGATAACAAATATCAGTTGTAGGGTGCCGGCCCCACATACCAAGGGTGGCAGGTTCGAACCCGGCCCCAGCCAAACTGCAACAAAAAAATAGCCAGGTGTCTGCAGTCCCAGCTACTCAAGAGGCTGAGGCAAGAGAATGGCCTAAGCCCAATAGCTGGAGGTTGCTGTGAGCTGTGATGCCATGGCACTCTACTGAGGGTGACAAAGGGAGACTCTGTCTCTTAAAAAAAAAAAATACTGACCAGAGATACAAAATATTAATTTTTTCTAGGTATTCAAAAATTGTTCAAAGAGGGGAGGAAGCCCTTAAATTGACGGAAATCCTTATTAAAAACTTAAAAAAAAATCGTAGACAGAAATGAACACAAGAAAACCACATTTGGCTTTCTCTCTCTGTTCCTCAGTAGAAACTACCTGCTCTAAGCAGTCAGTAAGTAGAGGGTTTCCTTGTCACTCCACACGTCCTTGCTTCTTTGTATGCCGAGAATGCCCTAGTCTCCCTAGTGCCCCTTTCTTTCACGGGCTCTATCCTGCCATGCCTTAACACCTTCAAGTTCTGTTTTCTCCATAAAGCTACTGATGCCTAGTGACCTGTGGAATTCTCTCTGGTCTTCCTACTCTTGGCCTCGTTAACTGTACAGTTGTCTACTGTATATACAGGCCTACAGAAGCAACATATAATATATTCTATTCCCTGGGTGCTAGCTTAAGGATACTCAAAGTGTGGCCTATGCACATAGTATAAATGCTGGTCTGTGACAAGGTTAAGTACAGATAATGAACACAAAGTTTATAGAGTTTTATAATAATTTGACATTCTCCTAACTTACAAATATGTAATCAGAACATTTTACAAAAGTATTGGTCTTCAAGAGATTGGAAATTTAAAAAACAAAAAAAATTGGCTCAGTGCCTGTAGCTCAAGTGGCTAAGGCGCCAGCCACATACACCTGAGCTGGTAGGTTTGAATCCAGACTGGGCCCGCCAAACAACTATGACAACTATAACCAAAAAATATCTGGGCATTGTGGTGGGTGCCTGTAGTCCAAGCTACTTGAGAGGTTGAGGCAAAAGAATTGCTTAAGCCCAGGAATTGGAGGTTGCTGTGAGCTGTGATGCCACAGCACTCTACCCTGGGTGATAGCTTGAGGCTCTGTCTCAAAAAAAAAAAAAAAAATCCAAAACTGGTGCTTCATCACTGACAGTAAGAAGGACTAGGTCTAGAATAATGAATAAAAATTTAAGTTCTCATGCCTATAATCCTAGCACTCTGGGAGGCAGGGTGGGTGGACTGCCTGAGCGCAGGAGTTTGACTAGTCTCAGCTAGAGCAAGACCCTGTCTCTAAAAATAGCCACGTATTGTGGTAGGTGCCTGTAGTTCCAGCTTGTTAGGAAGCTGAGGCAAGAAGATTGCTTGAGCCTAAGAGTTTGAGGTTGCTGTGAGCTATGATGCCAAGTCACTCTACAGAGGGCAACAAAGTGAGGTTCTGTCTCAAAAAAAAAAAAAATTAACTTCTCCCAGGAGTTTGAAGTTACAGTGAGCTACTGCACTGCAGTCTAGGTGACAGAGCAAAATTGTCTCTAAAACAAAACCAAGCACTACATAAAAACCTTAGGTGGCTCAGCAACTGTGGCTCAAGTGGCTAAGGTGCCTGCCACATACACCTGAGCTGGCAGATTCGAATCCAGCCTGGGCCCACCAAACAACAATGATGGCTGCAACAAAAAATAGCCCGGCGTTGTGGCGGGCACCTGTAGTCCCAGCTACTTGGGAGGCAGAGGCAGGAGAATCACTTGAGCCCAGGAGTTGGAGGTTGTTGTGAGCTGTGATGCCACAGCACTCTACCCAGGGCAACAGCTTGAGGCTCTGTCTCCAAAAAAAAAAAACCCCTTAAGCTCTGGAGTTGGACAGATGGGTTCAAATTCTCTGTTACTTACTAGCTATGTGATCTTGGGCAAGTCACTCAAATTCTCTAAGCCTACATTCATATTCTGTATACTAGGCTTATTCTTTCATTGAACAAATATTTCTTAAACTTCTGAGTGACAGGTATTGTGTTAGGTGACATGAACAACACAGATCAAAACGCAAATATCTCATGGTTAAAGTCTAGTGGGTTAGAAAGATATTAATAAAATAACCGGACAAATAAATGTGAAATTCAACTTATTATATCCCAGGAAGAGAGATGGATAGTGTAATATGAGCGAATAATAGGGGGAGGTAACTGGTCTGGGAAGCCAGTTACCTTTGACGAAGATGCAGGATAAAGTTGGAATCTTAAGGATGAGTGGGAATTAATTACCTATCAAAGTGTTAGTGGGAACATCATGGACAAAAGCTATGAGACAGAAGTAAATACTATGTCTGTGAGGACTTGAGAAAAGGCCATGTGGGCTCGGTGCCTATAGCTCAGTGGCTAGGGCACTGGCTACATACACCAGGGCCGGTGGGTTCGAACCTGGCCTGGGCCTGCCAAATAACAATGACAACTACAAGAAAATAGCTGGGCGCTGTGGTGGGTGCCTGTAGTCCCAGCTACTTGGGAGGCTGAGGCAAGAGAGTCACTTGAGCCCAAGAGTTTGAGGCTGCTGTGAGCTGTGATGTCACAGCACTCTACCAAGGGGGACATAGTGAGACTCTGTCTCAAGAAAAAAAAAAAAAGCCGTGTGGCTAGAAGAAAGAGAAGTACAGGAAATGTGTGACAGTGAGACCTCAGAGGTGGGCAACAGCCTGACTACACAGGGTCCCACTGTATTTTGATCATTATCTTTTTTTTTTGTAAAGACAGAGTCTCATTTTGTCACCCTCAGTAGAGTGCTGTTGCATCACAGCTCATAGCAACCTCCAACTCCTGGGCTTAGGCGATTTTCTTGCCTCAGTCTCCCGAGTAACTGGGACTACTGGTGCCTGCCACAACGCCCGGCTACTTTTTTCGTTGCAGTTTGGCTGGGGCTGGGTTTGAACTCGCCTTGGTATGTGGGGCTGGTGCCCTACCCACTGAGCCACAGGTGCCACTCTTGATCATTATTAAGAGGAAAAGGAAAGAGAAGACAAGAGAAGATAGGGATTTTAAGTTGAGTTCTTCATATATATTATCTCACTTTAAGTCTTTACCACTATACCTGGCATATTCTAAGCACTAGACAAATGGCATCTAATATTTTCCTTTGCATTTTGTTTTTCAGTTTTTAGCCGGGGCTGGGTTTGAACCCACCACCTCTGGCATATGGGGCCAGCGCCCTACCCCTCTGAGCCACAGGCACCGCCCTGCATTTTTTTTTTTTTAAATTAAGACAGTCTCACTTTGTCGTCTTTCGTAGAGTGCTGTACCATCATAGATCACAGCAACCTCAAACTCTTGGGCTCAAGTGACTCTCTTGCTTCAACCTCCCTAGTAGCTGGGACTATAGGTGCCCACCCCAATGCCCAGCTTTTTTTTTTTTTTTTTAAGCAGGTCTAAGCCTGGTTCAAACCCAGCAGCCCCAGTGCATGTGGCTGGCATCCTAACCACTGAGTTATCGGCACTCAGCCCCATTTGCATGTTTTATCACTTGGACTGAAACTCTCTGATAGCAGAGCCTTAACTTGGTCTTATTTTGTACACCACAGCATATAAGTCACATAAAACTTGTTCACTATATTATAAGGACTTTTCCAGGCACTGTCATCAAAGAAATTCATCTAGAGCCCCTATGTTTATACTGCTAAACAATTATGTCGAATTTCGGCTGACAATCATGACCCTGAGGTTTAAAGACCCTGAATCAAAGCAAGCTTAAATTATTGTACATATCCTAAATACTCAGGTTTTTTTGTTTTTTTTTGAGACAGTCTCACTATGTTGCCTTCTGTAGAGTTAAGTAATGTCACAGCTCACAGCAACCTCAAACTCTCAGGCTTAAGCTATTCTCTGCCTCAGACTCCCAAGTAGCTGGGACTATAGGTGCCTGCCACAACACCCAGCTATTTTTTTGTTGCAGGTGTTTAGCTGGCCCGGGCCAGGTTCAAACCCACCACCCTCAGTGTATGTGATTGGCACCGTAACCACTGTGCTACGAGCGCTGAGCCAATACTCAGCTTTTTCTTCTTTTTCTTTTTTCTTTCTTTTGGAGAGGAAGTCTTGCTCTGTTACCC